CTAAGTTCCAAGTTTGATGGCGGCCAACGTGTTTCAGCTTTTGGTACGTTGCCTTCACGAATTATAAAAATGAGCGATTAGATTATAATATATTTTTTGAATATTCGCGATTTCAAAAAGACTGATTCCCAGATTAAGGCTGTCGTTAGATTTCCGCAGCTGTTTCTGAGAATGGAAGCCTACGGAGATGTGAACCTTGGTGAGTTACTGCTATTTAAAATGTTTACGATACCCAATTATAATAACTAATAATAATAGGTTAAGGAGAAGTCAAGTTGATACCTGAACTAACAGACCACCACGTACAGGTCGCAGTTCATCTTATATCATAAAGTTAAAGTTCCAATTGTATTGCGTAGTGCCTATTCTATTTTACTAATGGGAACACGGGCCTGGTTCGAGGTAAAAATAGAAATGATGGTGGTACCTATCCTAGCGAGTTCACAATACACCTTACTTTCCGGTAGTAAATCCCAGCTCGATCAAAAAATCTGATTTTCGCTGTTTCACCAGGAATTTTTATAAGAATTTCCTACCTAAGTGGCCTCCAAGCAATATCCGTTCATTTTAATTGTAATAAAGTACGTTACGTTGACGAGATCATTACTTTCAAGAAGTAGATACATTTCGGTGTATTTTCTGAAGACATTGGAAAACATGGAAGATTTTAATTGGTATTCATTAATTTGCTTTATAAACCTTGATACAACGATTCCGTATTATTTTAACTAATGAAGATAACGTGTAGGCGTGATACGAATTAAGATATAATGGCAACTCTTTCCGTCCGCATTGTACTCTTAAAAGAGAAGGAGTGGTGATCATGAATTATTATTGTTGACTCTTTTTTTCCCTGCCTATTTATCGGTTGCCTAAGAGATTATTCGAGCTTGTTAAGAGCGGGTAGTTGAGTTCATGAGCTCATGAGCTCATGAGCTCAACCTGAGAGAAATTGCTAACATAAGCCCTAGCAAAAGCAATATTTCGCAGAATCTACCACCGAATCGGAATCGCGACGCACTGTGAAGATCTGGCGAGAAACTCAGTAGGATCATTGTTCACAATTGACTTTTGAAATTAAAAGTATTCTTTATAACATTAGAGGTGTACTGAGTTCAAAAAAATAATATTATAATAATCCAACACGTTAAGCTCCCAAACAATGTAAATAAATGTAATATATATTTTACAAAGTTAAGACACACAATTATTTAGAAAAATTAAAAATGAATTGCCATCCCTTTTCTCTTGTGTGCATATGTTTGTATTCGTGTCCTTTAATAATATACTGGCAACAGTCACCTAACGTGGACTAATTTTAGTATTCTTGATAATTACTCAAAAAATTATTGGTTGTTGGTCGGTCTTGGATTTGTCTAAAAATTCGTTTTGAGTTCTAAGCAGAAATTTTAGTTTCTGAAAGGAAGTTTTCAAAAATATATCATCCTTCAGTGTATTGGTAATTTGCTTTCGTCCAATAAAAATATTTTCTTGTAGTTTCATGTAGAACTTGTTCTNTGGACTAATTTTAGTATTCTTGATAATTACTCAAAAAATTATTGGTTGTTGGTCGGTCTTGGATTTGTCTAAAAATTCGTTTTGAGTTCTAAGCAGAAATTTTAGTTTCTGAAAGGAAGTTTTCAAAAATATATCATCCTTCAGTGTATTGGTAATTTGCTTTCGTCCAATAAAAATATTTTCTTGTAGTTTCATGTAGAACTTGTTCTTCATTAACATGAAATAATTAACGTGAACTTTGACTTTGAATTTCCTCGGATGCGGTGATAGCCATCGATGGTTTGCCGGAACAACCTAGAACTTTGGGAACTTGTTGTTTGTCTGAATCGACGATAGTTTTAGTAACCGAAGGAACTTTTGCATGTATAACTTTATCCTTGTTCTTGTGATTAAAACCAATTAGTAAGACAGAAGTAATAGTCATTTTCGTGGTTGGATCACTCCTTCCATACCAAACAATGAGCCCCTTGATCGCCCGAAAACCAAATCAACAATGACGAATTAAAATACTCAATCTACTGTTGAGTTAGCAGCATCTTATAACGTTAGGTTCAAAACATAACAAACAACAAAACATAGGTCCACTTACGTCAAATTGGCAAGATAAATAACTAGATAAGTGGATGCCGCACGATTTGAACGACCGCTAGCGCGACGAATGCTTTAGCTATGCCTTGTGTTGTTTAACAGACACAGAAACTAAGACATTTGGAGCAGCAATATCGTTTTGATCAGATTGATTAGACCCTGGTTCAGCACCTAGGCAATACCTCAATCAAAATCTTATCTTTAAAAAAGTCATGGTCACTGTTTGATGGTCTAGTGGCGATATAATTTATGACAGTTTTTTACCTAATGGCATCAGAATTACTACGCATGTATACTGCTATGAACTGGACATGAAGTTCGTGAATCTCCTGTCAGCCTTGGTTAATCATTCGTCCCGCTGCTCCTATACGACAACGCTTGGCCTCATGCGACACAATAGATAAGCCTTGTGCCGACAGACTTTTATATTTTGAAAAGCTCGGACAATTTCAAGCAAGAAAAAATTAAAAACTCGGGAGGCATTAGAAAATGCATTAAAAGAGTTTCATGGCTCCCGTAAATCTGACTTCTTCAAGAAGGGCGTTGAAAAATGACCGCCACGCTGTCAGCGATCATAGGTGTATATTTTGAAAATAGAAAAAACTTTATGTATAATTAGATTCTAAGTACGTGGAAAGCACGGAGTTCCGCCCTGAATTATTAGTACATTGACTACATAAACTTCTGTGACTGATATTTTCTTGATTTGTGCCCAGTCTACACCCTGCGACCTCGGAAGACCAATATAATCTGCCTCACGACCTCTCGCCGCCTTCGGTGATAATAATGTATATTCTACAAATAAGGCAATTTTAGTAAGCAAGTATATTTGTAAAGATATTTCCATGAGCGACTTAATGAAGATGGATGCCAGACGGTGATCATCTAACGGCATAGTTGCCTCTCTCCCTTCTATTCACTCTTCTTGGCTACAGCTCAGCATCAAACAGAAATGATTTCATTGAATAAAGTTATGGTTAAAGGTAACCGATTATCTCTAAGTATCGTAAAAATCTTGTCGATTTTCAATATAGCGTAACATTTTTTAGAGCTAAATCTGATGATTTAGATCTTCCTCATCATTCGTGTTTAACGAAAAACGTGGTAAATGCAGCTTTCAAACGATTCAATTAGTTTATTTTTTCTCATGAAGTCTACTTTAAATTTCTATGTCCATATGTTTTTTAAGTTAATTGATATTGTTTAAAGCAGTTATTCAGGGGCACTTACGTATACCATTAACGCAGTCCACAAATGTTAGTAATCAGACTGTAAGCACTACATCGATTAAACTGTGTAATACTCGCAGTGTCCCGCTAAATAGTCCCGCGTTTCGCCGTTAAACAATCGCCAGAATCGGTTGATTGATTGCGACGGGCTCCCTCGGGATACTGCGCGACTAATTAATTACATCCTGACAACGTACCTTGTATTATGGGATTTTCTAAAAATAGGACGCAAATGTTTCGCCGGACGCATTTCAGGGCGAAGCTTTTCGGGCTCTGGTTAAAGGAAGTAATTTGCAGTACTTGGTTGATTAATAATTGCAAACTTGGTTCAACTTAAATTAAGTTATTATTAATTGAATTATAATATCGTTTACTAATAAATCACTCCTTTTTTGCTATCATCTTAATATTTTAACAAATACTAATTTGTATTTGTAATGAGATAAGTCATACAACAGTTGTATAGAGTAAATTGCATCTGACTATTATAAGCACCGTCATTTAGAATCAATGCTAGCCTTACGTAAATTTGTGAACAGATGATATTCAGTCCCACTGTATATCTCCATTTAGGTGGCGCGCGGTCTCCGAATCCAAAACATTTCAAACGAAAAAAAAAACAATCCTTTTGCGATCGTAAATCTGTAGTAATTAAAGTGAGGGCACACGCAACCGGCCGCGCAATGTAACACGCTCCATTTGTTAGTTGAAACCGGAGCAAGATACCAAAAGGTTTTAATGGAATGAATCCGCACAAATACCCTAAAGATTGCAGCGCTTCAGATGCGGTTCCTACAAAAAGAAGTGTACACAGAAATGCAATTTGTTCTTTAAGAATTTTTCCGGAGAAGAATATAATCCGATATATCGTTGTACTTGTATAATTTGGGGGGTTGGTGCTTCCCGCTTCCGTAGGTTTAACCCGCGATTCCCTACAAGTGACCCCTGGGTGGTGCTAAACGGGAGCCGAAAACATAACCGGTGGTAGGACCTAGTCCGACTGGCTGGCGACCACCCTCCAACTAGAGTCCGCCGCCAAATAGCCTAGCTGTGTTCCGGCGTGTGGGTTGGAGAGCCAGTTCTANCGCAAAAAGCGGTACAGCTGGTACTGATGCTTCAGCTACGTTACATACTTGAAGTGGATGTTTTGGCCCACCGAAAGAGAACTCTAGCGATGAATGTTCTTCGAGGACGTCATGGCCGATAATTATATCAGCACAAAGATTTTTCACGATAAGAAGATTCACATTATCATATCTATGATTTCCGATTTTCAGGGTTTGCCAAGTTTGACAAGTATAATTAAGAGAGGCCATAGAAATAGTCTGATTGCAGGATTTTCTTTTTAACCCGCATAGTCTTGCAAAGTTGTCATTTATAAAACTGATGGAGCTGCCGGTGTCGAGAAGTGCTTCTGCTCTTATTCCTCGAATATAAGCGGGTACAGTAGCTTTACGTAATGAAGAAGGTGACGCTGCTGTGATACAAGCGGAAAAATCTTCAGTACCTACTACCACAGAATTTGTAGATTTAGAAGAGCTTCTACAAACAGTGGCAAAGTGCTTCTTCTTGTTACAGAGTTGACAAGTCTTTTCAAATGCAGGGCAGTTCTTACGAGGATGTATTTGACCCCCACAAAAGAAACATTTTTGCCGTCGAAGATTATTAACAGAAGAGCAAGTCTCGTTGTGCAGAGAATTTTGGTTCTTTTGGAGCAATAGCATTTAAAGAGACAGTATTGAAGTTTTGAGAGTTGATCTCTGCAGTTTCTAGAGAGAGTGCTTGGTTGTAAGCTTGATCAAGTGTTAGAGTTAAGTTTTCTAAAAGCCTTTGTCTGATTTTATGCGATGATATACCGGATATGAAAGCATCGCGTACGCTATCGTTTTTGTTTGTTTCTGCATCAACAGCCACAAAATCACAATCTTTGGAAAGTAGTTTCAAAGCTTGTAAATATGTGTCAATACTTTCTTCTGGTCGTTGTTTCCTTGTTGCTAACATATGTCTAGCAAAAATCAGATTTTTTGGTTTTACATACAGTTTTTGCAGTATTGTGATCGCTTCTTCGTAGTTTGTAGCTTCGCTTATATATGTGTAGATATTTGGTGATATATGGTTTACCAAAAGTTGAAACTTTATGCTGTCCCATTTTTCTGGCGGACGAAAAGACTGTGCATCTGTTTCTGGAGCGGCCGGCTTCTGCACGAAAATGAAGTTTTCGAAAGTTTTACGCCAATGTATCCAAGCTCTCGTACTAGAGCTATCTGACGGGTCGATATCAAACCTTTCAGGGCGGAGATATCTATCCATTTTTTATTTATTTAGCTTATTAAATTGAAATAAGAGAAAACCTTTACTGAATATAAGGTTTTAATAAGCTAAAATTAACAGTAAAATTTGCTTTGATTACATTAGATACATTGACAAATAACGAATAAAACAGATTGACAATGACGTCAACTTATGGCTGATAATTTCAACTAAGAAGTTTACATCATGCTCATTTATGATTTTATAACAAACTGAAAATAAATTGTTTCGTTTATATTAAATAGCTATTCCGAAACCCGATTTTTCATGTTTTTATAACATCATTTAATGTTGACCGAAAAAGTAAAAAAAAGGCAGGACTGCGGAAGGGAAAACTCAAAACAAATATGGTTAATGTTGGAAATAAACTTAAACGTAAATGAATTACTCACTGTTGCGCTAGACAGTGTTTCTAGAATTAATTATAAACAGTACACACTATACGCTAAATAAGCCTTTCAAGTAATTAACTTATGTTCACTTCTTCTTCTGCTTCTGAGTCGGTCTCTTCATTGCTGAAGGTCGTTGTAGTTTGAAATGTTGACCAGTTGATGTACTATACTTCCCCATATCTGCCTGTTCTTGTCTTAGTATTAATAATATGTCGGTAACGGAAAATCAAAAGATTCTACCCATCTCACAAGTAAACTTCCGAATGTTACAGTCAAGTATAAAATATAATTTATTATTTGTAATAAGAGAAAACCTTTAATGAATATAAGGTTTTAATAAGCTAAAAATTAACAGTAAAATTTGTTTTAGTTACATTAGATACATTGACAAATAACTAATAAAACAGATTGACAATGACATCAACTTATGACTGATAATTTCAAGTAAGAAGTTTACATCATTAGTATATTACCGTAATAGTAGAAGCGCCCTATGTATATTATACCTATACACAGCGGCCTGTGTAAATTATACTTAATTATTACATATATACCTATTTAACTTGCTTTTTGTGGAGTCAGCAAATAATTATCGAAACTTCAGTTCGGTGTTATTTTCATATACAAAAAGAACTGTTACAAGATTTAAGAATGGGCTGTACAAGGATAATTACTATGCTTCGTTAGGTGACCGATTGATCGACGAAAGTGATTAAAATTTAAACGGATCCATGATCGATGATAAGCTCGGGATTGGCTCCGAAAAAATTGTAAGTTCATGTAGATTATTCATGCTTGGTAGGCAGCGGCTTGGCTCTGCCCCTGGCATTCCTGAAGTGCATGGGCGACGGTAACCACTCACCATCAGGTGGGCCGTATGCTCGTCTGCCTACAAGGGCAATAAAAAAAAGATTTGTAATTTTATAAATATAACACAAAAAAATTCAATTGACATCTATTTTGTACTAGACAATTAAGACTCCACAAACGAATGAAAACTGAATCGAAATTTTGCAACTTTTTATCGTTTAAGTACGCAGACAGCCTGTGAAGTGTGAGTAATATTTTTAGAGTAAAACGAACGCTACTATGAAGTTTAAGAAGAAGCTGAATGAGGTATTTGAGTTTTTATGTTATAGAATTTAGAATACATTGGTGAACTGTACGAATGCCTTAGCAATGCGTACAACACAACATGGCATATTTGGGGCTCTACGAACTTGCGTTCTTTTGCTCTCTCTGTGGAGCAGTGAAACCCAACCAAAAGGTCTTTGAAACATTTTTAAATCATTCGCTGACCGTGTCACGTCGCCATCTTTCTTTTCGGAAAATTTTGACGGCGGTGAGGTACGTTTTAAAATTAAACTAAATCGCTTGTTAGTGATTGTTTGAGTTTTATTTTAGCAATTTTTAATTTTGATCGTCTACTGAGTTTTAACATTCACTATCACAAAGAAGTGGTACGTATTTTCAAAGAATACAAGCCATGCCATGTGGTCGGTCTGCTAGATTTTAGTGTACTGCGCATTAAATTTTACGTTTTAAGTTGCTGTTCAATGTATTTGCAACAATTCTCAGTGCAATTTTAAGTAACCAAAATGAATATTAAATTGGATAGTGTTGTATTTTTATGTTTTTTGAAAAGCCGGTACGGTAACCAACGTGGCCGTAAGTTCACTTATTAACGTAATTATATTGTTTTAGAGTTAAATATTAAATATGGGTACCGTCGAACGTTCTGGTGACGACCACACATCCGAAATGGAGTCTGCAGAAGAAGAAGAAGTCGTCGGAAGTGGTGAACTAGCGCAACACCTGTTGAAAAGGTACTTAACTAACGGATTGTTACTGTTCCTACCATTTGCGTATTCGCAATTAAAGGACACATTTTCTGTTCAAAATGAGTTCAAAACCAAAGTCCTAAACAAAATATTTTTAACTGAATTTACCATTGAATATTGTTTCTAACATGATTTGGAACGTTATCAAACATGAACGGTCTATCGCAGCCCATGTGCTCATTCCCAAATTCCGAGATTATGACTCATCCAATTCTTACACAAGACATGTGTGCTTGATTAATTGAAGCCCAGAGAAGATCAGTCCCACAGGACAGCGCTGCATTGTAGTTAAAATTACTACTCAATATTCGTAACTAATCTCGTAATCATTCACCTAAAAGTAATATGTATAGATCAATTTGTAATCTTAACATTAACTAGACATTTCTTATTTTGAATCTTACCATATATAATATATAAGTACCAATGTTTTATTTTCACCAAGACCTAAAGACTAAAATTAGAGAGAAAAAGTTTACATGTGCTACATGGATTGTAGAAAAAATCTAGCAATATTAATAAAACAGTAATAAAATCCAAAAGTATATTTTAAAAAACAGCAATTCATGAATTCTACTTAATCCTGATTTAAAAAAAGGGATTTTTTGTATTACTAATCTTCCATTTACATCTTATTGTAAAGGTTATAAATAAAGCAAATGTTATTAGTCAAAAGTATAGTTTTAACACGCAAACACTAAAAGTACTTGCCAATTAAAAGAAATAGGAGAAAACATAGATTGCAAGTAATGTAAATGTATCATTGTCATTCATAATTGAAGTTAAAATGATTCATATCTGAGAAGGGAAAACTTGAAAGTAATCATTGTTTGAAATTATTTTGAAAATGTTTGTTCTAAAGTAATTACTTTAGAACAAACATTTTGTATGTGTCATTATGTAATTACATAAAATGTCATGTTTAGCACAGAGACATTGCCTCTGTGAACAGCACAAGTCAAGAATATTCATTTTTGTTAAAGTTTGATTAGGGTCTGAAGAAAGATTTATCAATAATAACCTTGTATCAATCATAGCAAATGATAGAATGATAGCTTGTACTTTGTTATAGCAACCACTTGCATAATGGAATTTAACTGCAATTAAAATTAGAACATTATTCTGAAAAGAGAAAAACCTTTTTTTTTTTAAACAAAGTAAGGCCAACATTATATTATTATTTTTATATAGCCTATCTGCATCACCATACAGTCCACTTTACTACCACAAGGTTCTCGGCAATACCAAGGGCATAACGAAACTGCTGCTTAGTATGTTTCATTGCTTTCCATTATACATCAGTCTTACTTTTTTTGCATTTGTAAGCCAATCAGATCATACTCTGGTGTCATTGAACTGATGAATCATTTATGCTCCATTTAAGAGTTTAATTTAGCTCTCCAAATTCAGTTATTGTGTCTAGGATAACTAGTTTTCGTTAATAATAAATTAAGAATTCATATAATTTTTATAATAAACTATAAAAATTATATGAATTCCATATGAAAGATTATCATATAGGCATTTTAAACTGGTACTAATGTTCGTTGTGTAAAAAAAACATATAGATACAATTTAGCGAGCCGCCTCTTGGCGAGGTCTGACTTTGTTTTTATCTAACCTTTTTCTTATAATACCTGACAATAAAAGGAAAGAGAATCTAAATGTTGAGGTATATAAGTTCAAATTTCGATCTTTGAGCGATTTTAGTGATCTTTATAATACAGATTCTGCATTGACTGATTATACAGACATTAAGTCAGTTAATGCCTTTGTGAAAGATAAATTTAGTAATTTAGGTATGTCTGTGTGCCTACACCCTGGATTTTTTGCACCTATAACACAGAATAATCCTAGCTAAGGGATAGCTGAATTTATAGTTTATTTGGAAATATTTAGTAATACAATATTTTTCTGCGTTCTGTTTGATTTGTTAATATGTAAACACTTTCTACCGTAGCTTTGTAGTATACAGGCGTCCTTCGCATAACACGATTAATTCGTACCGTATCCTATAGCGAAACCGTGTTGTACGAAAAATGGTATACCGTATAGTATCGAGGCCCTCGTCTTGCGTTATATCTGAAAGACGTTTGTAGCATCGAAACCGTTTTTACAAGTACCATGTTATACGTCGGACGCCTATGTCGACTAACAAAATGTCTTTTCTTATACACTTAAGCATTTTAATGCAAATATGTTAGGCATATTTAAATGCAGAGTGAATAATGTAATGTAACATGTCTTTTTTGGCGTCTCAGTTGTCCTCTTATTGTCAAAGATCGTGACTCTTCTGTTGTCTTCTTACTGTTTCTCTACTCCACTGTTTCACCTATTCTAATCTTTTGCCTGGTGGAGGGCTTCTTTTTTTTTGTATCTTTGAATTTAATTCGTCTAGTTTTTTTCGCTATATAACACTGTCTATTTTATATATATATAACTAACCTTTGCCCGCGACTTCGTCCCTGTGGAATAGATACTTTGGTATAACGCTAAATTTTACCCGCCTCTTCATTTACTTCATTTACGTAGAAAGTGAATTTTTTTTTGAATAATAGAATGTTAAGGATCTATTAAAGGTACCAAAATCACGCTTTTTAAGCGACTTCAAAAGAGGAAGTTATCAATTCGACCATAATATTTTCATCTATGTATGTTCACCGATTTCTCAAGAATGCTTGAACCGATTCTGAAATTATATTTTCTTTTTTTTGTTCGAAAGGGTAGACTTCCCCAATGGTCCTGTAATATGATGGGATCCTGGAGAAATCCAGAAAAATCTATAATTGTCAAAGCCTATCTTGAAGTGATTTGAGTGTTTCAATGTGTAAACATATAAACATTAATTTATAAAAAATACCTTCACAAAATAAATAATGCTTTATTTTAGAACAAATTTGGTTACCATAAAAAACCTTATAGTGCCAACCTTAACATATAGACATATGCTGTTGCGGGCTTTTTTTTAGATCTTTTAAAGGGGAACAATTCTGTCATATATTATTTTAGCGAAACTAACCGTTTCCGCGGCGCACGCAGCGGAAGCTCTCAAATGGGTAAAATACCCCGATTTTGAAACATTCTTTATTGGTGCTCCGCCTGTATTGGTCTTAGCGTGATGTTATATAGCCTATAAGCCTTCCTCAATAAATGAGCTATGACACTGAAATAATTTTTCAAATGGGACCAGTAGTTCCTGAGATTAGCGCGTTCAAACAAACAAGCAAACTCTTCAGCTTTATAATATTAGTATAGATATTTCGACATCGAAATGGCCACTTTTGAATACTTATTTAATGGTCATACATTTTTTATCATTTACAATGTATTGACTCCTGGAATTCTCGAGACAAACAAAAAACGATCACGCCATCTTTTGAACGGGTCATCGACACAGCAAGATTAAATCGACCTCCCTTTTCAAAAGCTTGTTACGATCGTGCCTCTTAAAGTGTTGTTAAATGTAATGTGGTTTTATTATATATTTATTTAGGAGTTATACCTACATTAAATGAGATGAATGCATGCAATGAATCACTGATGAAATGAAAAGGGATTTTTCTAAATTACTAATACATATAGTCAATTAATAATAAACCTAGAAACTTGTTTTGAACATTTTTGGTCGTGTTTGATCATGAATGTAAAACAAATCGCGATGTAAATATTACTCTGCACTGTATTTTTGATGAAAAGAGTAAAAATGCAGAATACTATTGTTATAATGTTTAATTAAATTACTGTTGTTAAAAAAAACAGTAACCGGATTCATAAACTAAAGAGGTTAAATAAAATAATTTAATATAATGAATTTGGGAAAACAAAAAAAATCATGCCACAAAAGTAATAAATACAACACTTTTATTGTACAATATTTTTTAACACTTAAGGAATGGATGACTCCATATCAATCAATATTAAACATTCGAATGTTGTTTGACAATTTTAAGTTAAATTTAACATTTTAAGAATTCAATGTAAATTCGAAGCCATGTATGTCATCACAGAATGTTTTCTGGTAAATGTTAACAGGGTAACTACTGTTTATAACACGTGTAGAACGGGTTATTTTCGATGTGGGTCAACACAGGCATATTGTGTTGTACTGAAATCAGATAACGAAAGAAGATAACCTGCATACTCTAGATCAAAATTCGTTTCGAAGTGTTAGGTGATTGCAAAAAAACAGCCATTTTTGTGTAATGGTAATAATGTTTAAATCTTACGTTTATAATAAATAACCCTAGTTTTGTAAACAGAATGTTCAGTAAAAANTTATTTTCGATGTGGGTCAACACAGGCATATTGTGTTGTACTGAAATCAGATAACGAAAGAAGATAACCTGCATACTCTAGATCAAAATTCGTTTCGAAGTGTTAGGTGATTGCAAAAAAACAGCCATTTTTGTGTAATGGTAATAATGTTTAAATCTTACGTTTATAATAAATAACCCTAGTTTTGTAAACAGAATGTTCAGTAAAAAAGTAGGAGTAAAGTTGAAGTTCAGTAGAAATATTTTCTCGAACAGACTGAACCCTAAGGGCGTTAGCTTTTACGGTACCCTAGATACCACAGTCCAGGGACCGTATTTTAACTTGTTAGTAGGGTGAAGTTGTTTCCGAAGGAGGGTCTAGAATAGGCTAGGATAATAAACGAATTATACTTGTGTTTTGCCTATATTGACTGAAAAGCATTTTAACTGTTTTATTTTAGTGGCGTGACCCGTAATGAAATGATAGCGGCCATCACAAATCGCCTTCATGCAGAAGCGATGGCATCCCTACCCCCGAATGTTCGTCGGCGAATCCGCGCCTTGAGAACTCTTCAGAAGGAGTTTGTCGACATTGAGGCCAAGTTTTACAGTGAAGTACATGCACTCGAATGCAAATATGAAAAACTTTACAAGCCTCTTTATGAAAAGGTGAGTCTTAATGCGTTTTGCATATCGACGCTTGAAAGGCAAACGTGACTAAGCGACAATAACTGCTTTGTACATAAATGATAGGCAATAACCATATTCGATGCGCAAAAAAAATATATTTCTAGGTCTATTAAAATCATTTCAATCCTACAGCTAGATTCATTAAAAATTTTTTTTTTCAGTTATTTCAACTTTAAATTAGTCTACTGTAAAGTTCACGTATTGTCGCTTAGTCACGTTTGCCTTTCAAGCGTCGATATTTTTTTTTGTGTTTTTGAAAAACTCACTGTACATTAAAACTTTGTAATCTGATTGTGCAGTGAGTATAAATGAGAATGAATAAATAATTATGTTCACAGCGAGCTCTTATTGTGAATGGCACATATGAACCTAATGATGATGAATGTCTCAACCCATGGCGTGATGACACTGAAGAAGAAGAGTTAGCTCGGGCGGTACAAAATGCTGCCATCACTGAGGGTGAGGAAAAGAAGGATGACAAGGCTATCGAGTGAGTAATTTGTTAAGAGTTTAAATTGTTTTAAAACAAAGTTGTATAATATGATAAAATCAAAAATATTTTGTTGTCTACAAATGTAACATTAAGACCAATTTCTGTTTAGAACAGTTTTGAATGACTCGGTATTTAAACGTTGTTATCCTTTTGCTGGAAAATGTTGAGAATTGTCTCTATTTTTTGAAACTTTTGCAAATGATGATATTTTAAACACCAAACACTGAAATATTGTGATTGATTTGAACATGCATCACCAACTGAAGCCAAAAAGTTGATTAATTAATTTTATATTTTTCTAAACATATTTATTTAATAATTATATGCACATTTTAGGCCTCCAATGGATCCCAATGTAAAGGGTATCCCAGACTTTTGGTACAACATATTCAGGAATGTCTCAATGCTCAGCGAAATGATGCAAGAACATGATGAACCAATTCTAAAATGCTTGCAAGATATTAAAGGTATGTTTGTTGAGTTTGTGGACATTTGCTAAATTATTAGCAATACTCGTTTATTTCAATTTACCAGGTGAACTGTCAGCTTTTTCACCTAGCTTCTCAATAAAAATCAATAAAATTACATGATGACATTTCACACCAAATTCTGAAAATTATGATTGATTTTTTAACATGCATCACCAACTGATTATCACAATTATTGACATGATAATTTAATTATCTACATTTTCTAAGACTTAATTAGCTTTTTCTAATTCAGTGCAAATGCATGAAGACCCCATAAGCTTCACTTTGGAATTCTACTTTGCTCCAAATGAATACTTCACAAATACAGTACTTACTAAAGAGTACTTAATGAAGTGCAAGCCCGATGAAGAGAGTCCATTAGAATTTGAAGGTCCTGAAATTTATTCTTGCAAGGTTTGTTTTGCTATTATTGGTTTTTTTGTTATAGAAGAAGAACACTAAAATATATTATTATTACTAGCTGACCCGGCAGACTTCGTAGTGCCACAATCGATAAATAAAAGACCTAAACTTTGTATAAAATAAACTTAAAACAAACAAAAGGAATCTGTCCGACGGGAACACATTAAAGAAAAAACAAAATTGTTGTTTTTGTTTAATTCCGAGCATTTTCATATTTATGTTACCTTTTAAACCTTCTCTGGACTTCCACAAATAATTCAAGACCAAAATTAGCCAAATCGGACCAGCCGTTCTCGAGTTTTAGCGAGACTAACGAACAGCAATTCATTTTTATACATATATATAGATAGATTATTGTTGTTGTTTGTTTAGGGATGTGAAATAAACTGGAATGCTGGTAAAAACGTAACTGTCAAGACCATAAAGAAGAAACAGAAGCACAAGTCCCGTGGGTCAGTTCGCACTGTCACTAAGTCCGTCCAAGCTGACTCCTTCTTCAATTTCTTTAACCCACCAACTCTGCCGGAAGATCCTAACTCTACAGTCGCCTCTGATGTACAGGTACATTTAGTTTTTAATAATTTTATGGAAAATTATCAAAAAAAAAAAAACTATTGCTCATTCTTCATGATGATTTTCAACACCAATAACTGAAATAAAATGATTAACGAAACATGCATCACCAACTGAAACAGTAATTTTCATTGATAATGTTGAACATAAATATTGCATAATTATAAACTAAACTTAACGTTGTAGGCGTTGTTGACTGCGGACTTTGAGATCGGTCACTACATCCGCGAGCGCGTCGTGTCTCGTGCCGTGCTGCTCTACACCGGCGAGGGACTCGAGGACGATGACGATGACGATTACGAAGAAGAGGTATGTTCAAACTTCACATTATATAGCAATTGATGTCAAAAGTCTTTAACTGAATTTTAAATTTTTTGCACATGTCGAAATTTTCTATTGTGCAATATTATTGCGAAAAAAATTAATTGGAGCTGATCTGTTCTTGCATATTATGGTATAGGACATATAGATACATTTTATATAACCTTTTTTTAATGATTTTAACACTAATTCAAAATAATAGAAACTAGATTTTGACTATAGTTTGTTTTCATTAAGCTATTAAAAATAGCTTGCTTTTAAATATAATCTGTTAATTATAGTAGGAGTTGTCTAGAAGAAACAAAATGTGCAGTATTTTAGTGTTATCTTTTAATCTTGTGGTAGTTGTAAGATTGCATAATTAGTGAATTCTACAGCCATCTTTTGTTTCTACAGTCGTACATGCATGGTAGCTTTATTATGCTTGCTTAGAAAGTTTTCATTTATCCCTTATCCTGAACAGACGGAGGTACGGTATTCCGTTGTGAAACCTGTAATTGGTAAAAATAGGCTGACTGGGTATACCTACTGGACTTTGCAAAGATTGTCTTTTATGGTTGCTATATGAAGTAAATGATTGAAACACTGCATTGCCATTTAAGTCTACATCCAAAGATGAAACTCAACCAGAATAGAAAATTTTCATAAACTTATAGTGACCATGTAAACTAAATTTCAATCTCTTAATCAAGTAATTGCTTGATAGATGTCTTGAATTGCTATGCAGTGTAATCATCTAGGGCAGGCGCATTACGGGCTGAGGGTGGGTTTATATAACGCATACGGTATCTACGTCTGGTGAAGGCAGCCCAACCAACAGCGGTCATGTTTGGTTTCAGGAGGATTCGTACTCTGACGAAGACTCCGGTACCGAGGAAGTTTCCGACGTGGAGGATTGATACGAGACCGTCCCCCCTAGCCTTCTATAAGCCTCAGAGGCATTCGTCCGACTCGATCGCTTGTATTTATTGCAACAAATAACATAGGAACCTCTAAATAAACGCACACGACATCGCTGTGCTGCTAGCTGTCGTGATCATATCTGGCTCATATCAATTGTAAACGAATTCTAAAGAATAGCGCGTCGGGCTCCTTGTAAATCCCTAGTATTTATGTTTCTCGCTACAAGTTTCTATGCATGATTTATCCTTTGATTAGATAAATATGTTTTAGAAATTGATATAAGGTCTATTCCGAAAGAGCAGACTGCGAGAAGTGATCGGTGCCTTCTTAATGTGTAATGCATGTTTAATCTTAGATTTTTGTAATGATAAACTACTGATGCATTTCTAGTTAAACAAATTCGTTTTTATTTATTATACAGTCATTATAGTGTGTATTTTTTTTTTGTTCACGAGTTTTGCTTATTCGTTTATTTTTACTTTGAAATTTCATGTGATATTATTAATCTCTTAAGATGATTTGTTTCTTACTTTTAATGTGTTGTCATTCCAATAGTACTGTTGCCGAGACAGGCTTGTCCTTGAACCGGAATATTTGTTGAATCTCTTAGTGCCAAAATGCATTTAAACAAATTCATCATTTCAGCATTGCTAACTGTGATCTATCCAATTTATATTTTATGATAACTTGACAATAGCTAGGGAGTATAGATATATTTTTTATTTATGTAACTTTCTATTGAAGTTGGCATAATAAAGTTAATGTATGGCAGCCACTCAGGTAGTTGTACTTGGTTTTAATGGCTTCTTATGTTTTTGGCATGATGTCGTTAATAGTGACATTAAAATTGTATGCTTTTTACAAATGTGTTTTATTTCACCTCGTTTTGCATGTTAGTTTTGACGGAGACGATGCGGATGGTTGCAGAATTCACTTACACTGGTAATGCAATGTGCCGGTCGATGTTTTAACCATAACGCTGTTGTATTTAGGAGGAAGAGGAATGCTCGATGGAGGAGAGCGAAGACGATGAGCCGGCGCCTCGGAGACGAACCAAGAAACCCGGCAAGGGACCTGCCGAGAACCCCGCTGAGTGCAAACAGCAGTAGCTATTTAATTGTAATGCAGTTCGAGTTTACCGGAGCTTTATACAACAATGATTCTGGTGCTGATTTTCCTGTTTTCTCTCTTGAGAAATGAATTTCGCAGTAACTTAGTCGACTGATGGTAACAGTAATAATGTATGTACCAGAATATTTTTGCTAAAAAAAGAAATGTGATAACGATTAGCTTGGTTTGCACTTTACAACCATCAGAACTTGTGCAGCACATTCCTCATAATGGCAATGACTGTACAATTATTTTGCCATCCGCCTCTATCAAAATCACGGTGCTGCAGACTCAATAGGAAATAAAACCTATGATATAGCAACACTAATAACTACTCACGGTCTGAGAGACTTGTTAAGTTTCATTTAAGATAATAATATGCTTTTGGGCCTTTTAAATTTAATTCATTTGATAATAATTTGCTATAATGACTCGTCCACAGGTAGGTTTAGACATTNTTATTTTGCCATCCGCCTCTATCAAAATCACGGTGCTGCAGACTCAATAGGAAATAAAACCTATGATATAGCAACACTAATAACTACTCACGGTCTGAGAGACTTGTTAAGTTTCATTTAAGATAATAATATGCTTTTGGGCCTTTTAAATTTAATTCATTTGATAATAATTTGCTATAATGACTCGTCCACAGGTAGGTTTAGACATTATTAAATATTCATCCAGTGATTATATGTAATTGTAATAAAATTAAATGTTAATCGCATGCCGGCAAGTAGAATATTTGTACACAACGTTTTTAATTAAAGTTTAAGAACTACATGTTTTTATTTTACTTAACCTTTCCAAGTTTTCTTCGAAGTTTTCATTACTGCACCGCAAAAATTGAATCAAGACTACGTCATTTTAAATAAATTACTGACATCAGACAACAGAGAGATAATCTAAAATTTCAAATACCCACCTGTTTTGTAAGAACGAAATTTCGTGTAAACAATGACGGTTATCGTAACAATTTGAAGGAAAATTAAATAGGTAAAATCATTCTAATAAAGCGATACATGAAAACGGGCATCCATGAAATTGGGAATTCCCTTTTGACAATGCAATTTGCTTTAGATATGTTCTCACTTCGCAATGAATCTAGTACCTATACCAGATACCGAAATGGTCAGGTACTCGAAAACTCACTGCATTAGACAAAATCGAAGCCGTGGCTTAACTAACGCCGTGTATTGTCTCTGATTTGAACAAAACGATATAAGCCGCGCCAATAAAGAAACGAAACGAAAATGGCGTCTATGTACCTGCACTGACAGATGGTATCGTCAACAAATAAAAAGAAAGATAGAAAGAAAAAGTTGTTAACCGTAAAAAAAAAAAAAAACAAATGAGAATATACTTTACTTTGGTGCCCTGGCAGAGGGGGAGGTGTCTCATCTGGGATGCATCTTGCGTAGACACTTTTGCTGGCAGTCATCTAAGTCGCACAACTCGAAAGTGAAAAACTCTAACTCAACAACAGTCAGAACTGATTATTTTTTTGCTTGCAGTACGCGCCGTGTGCGAAAGGCCAGTAATAGTTTAGAGTGAAAGCGCATGATCGCCGCCGCCTTTTTAGATTTGTTTTTTTATTGGCGCGGCATTTAACAGACTGAAATTATATCCGGCGAATGACAACCGCGACTGATGACAGGCCATAGATCATTTCTTTGAATTTTTAATGAACTATTAAAACAGATGTGATTAAAAGTGTAGTAAAGAAATAAAAGTTTCGAGATCATTCTTGATATCACCAACTTTTCAAAGTTAGAATAAAAAAGCCAACATATTTTCAAAATTTTTATTTGTTTTCAATCATTAACAATGTCTATCACGATTTGTCTTTTTATTAAAACAATCAGATCCAAAATGAAATAAAATTAATAATGATCTACTTTATGACACGACGAAAACTTATTTGCTGTAAATAACTTACCGATGTTAACCATAGGTATAGTATTTCATTCATTGTTTTAAAATAATTAAAAATATGATTTGTTATTATAATACGTTTTATATTATCCAGCATGTCTCAATGCATTAGCAAAAACTACATACATATTATTAGGTCAACAATTGTGACCAAAGTCACAGAAAACTCGTTTTCATAAATAGCTTACAAACATTGAACTTCCTCGCCAACGAATTATCGTGCACAAAGCAGATCTGTTCAAACACTATAAGTGTTCGTATTTAAAATAATGATTCCCATTCAATTTTGAACGTTTACGCCCCTTAAAATAGTGCAGTGCAGTAAATCTTAAGATTTTGTACTAAAAAAAACCAATTACCTACTTTTTACTTGAGTACGAAACGGTACAAAGTACTGGGATGATCATTTCATTTATTACACAAATTATGAAAAACTATTTTCACATTTCAAGTGTTCTATTTTTAAATACGATAAATATTTTCACAGCATACTATTTGCTAAGTACGAGATAGGAAGACTGATATAAGTCAAAGGTTTTTTTTCAATCAGTACCAATAAAATATATAAATACTACAAGTTGTTTTATTGTACTCACTACAATAATGTAGAGACTTCAGCTCCTTTGTACAAAGTTGAGTGCGTGCGCATTGTGGACTCTACGATCCGGTCTACTATTAAAGTCAAATGAACCAAGAGTTGGTCTCCAGAATTAAGAAAAATAAGTACGCAATATTTTTCATAATTCATACAAAATCATATCTTAATATAAGTAGTATAAACACTTTGTATATTTATTTAGTCATTCATTCAGTTCGTTTTAACTATTTCACAAAACTATTAGTTGAAAAATCTATCGTATAGAAATAGGCAAATTGGAGATTTTTACTAAACGATAACCTATTACTGGCTCCGGTTATCTCACAAGACACGTATAAATAAACTACAAAAAAAAAAGAGACAACAGCAAATTGTAAATATTGATACAAAAATTTGAGCCGCGACTGCTGACCAGCCAGTTTTTGTCTAAATAATTAGCACCACGTTTTTTTTTCCTATTAAATTATACAATACGATCTGCTACACAAATATTACGTGAAAAAGTTGTTTATAACCTAAATTCTTCACGTTACAACGCTATTCTATATTTCGACATCTCGGTCGTGCTAGCCTAGGGCAGGGCCTTGAAACTGCAATACTTTAGGACAAAAATTTTTTTGTATGGAAATTAGCGACATCTTGTAGCGGATGCCCCTAAACTTATATGTTGTTAAAGTTAAGGCATTTATAAATCATACAAGTCATTATTTGTTATAGGGAAATTGATTAAATTTTATCAAATTGTGGTTTCTGAAAATTTACAAAATCATACATTAAAAATAAAATATAGTATAGGTAATATGTTACTGCCATCTACACGAGCAATGAGAAACTGATCGAAGCGAAGCCATCTAGTGGCCAACGCCCGTAAACATTTTTGTTGAGTGCTTGAATTGCTTATCTATCACTATATTTATGTGTATTATCTATGGCCTAGGACGCGGGTAGTCAGAAACCGAACAACGCCATCTAGTGTCCGTCCCATGTAACCTGCCCCGCATAGTTGCACGAGAACTGAATAATCGAATCGAGACGCTAATCCGTCCAATTACAATTCAAATTACGGCCTCCGACACAATTATCATACATATAAAAACGTGCCTCGCAAATAAGAAAATAATACCTACGAGTGAACAATATCGCTATCAAACTAAAAGAAAAAAAAACAAACAAAAGGGAATGATGCGATATAGTGATATTGTGATTAAGTTATGTCCAAGGCGGTTAGTAAAATTTAACTAGCCGATTTAAGATGAGCCGTATTTAGCACAATAAAATAAACACATCTCGAAACTCGACCTGATCTATCGAACAGTATGTACAGATGTCAAGTGTTAAATTTATTGAATCAAAACATAATAAGTACTTAATATTTAGTACTAATATACATATATATGTACACGCAGGATCCTTCACAAAAAACAAAATTATCTCTCTTACCTTGATCACCGTGATCATAGAGAGAAAAAATAAGGGTGCAAAAAACATTATATGCAAAATATGAAAAATAATAATAATGATATTAAACTAACGAGGGCTCAGTCGATAGTTCGCTCTGCTGATTTATATTAGGCCGGTTTATTTGTGTGTTCTTGGATATAAAACCTTTAGTAATTTCGATTCACTCACACAACACAAATAATTTTGTACCGCTGTTACATTTTAACTTCTAACAAACTTCTACACAACACATAATTGATTAAGGTGGATAAGACGTATACAACATCTTCAATTTATACGTCATACATTATCGACAAGGGTAGTTAGATAATTTTTAATAATAATACCCGAATTAAGTACTTACTTTTAAATATAAATTAATTACAAACAATTATTTCCATTTTGATTTTATTATAGACACAATTTGTATAATTTTTAATTGAACTCTTAATGATAGGTTCTTTCTTATGCATACATTTTATTTATTGGACTATTTTTTGTACCGGCAGACATTTACAGTCAGAATTCTGAATAAAGACGTTACTAAATCGATTTTCAATTTTACTAAGGTTTATAATATGAGCGAATACGAAATGTCGGCTCGTGCCATTATTGAATGCGCTCGTAAAGTTCGTAGTGAGAGTTCGACATTTGCCGCGTGCTGTTACCTCAGTACGTTCCTAACAGTCTGTAGTGCGCGAGGTCAATGACACAGTACGGACAGCGCAGTGTACGTTGAGGCGGTAGTCACGCAGGCGTCTTTGTCTTCTTCCCAAACGGCAAATGGATACGACGTTTTCTAGGCTTCGGTACACCTTCGTCGTCCATCAGGGAGGAGTCCGTCGATTCTTCTTCGGGAGGAGTAACGCTGGAAGGGGTTGCCGCATCTGAAATAAATACATTCACGATAAAATCACACCATGTGTTTAATATTATTAAAATAGAATTGTTGTGATTAGATTCAAATACCTTACGATATCACTTCCATTACGAGAAACTATCCCAAGAAATATGTCAGAAAAACGATACTCTAACTTAACTAAGAAAAAGGATACTCTAAAAAAAATTTTTAAGCTAGTAACTTCATCTCTGTATGGGCACTTTACGGAATGGTGGTTTCTCGCCGGATCTTCTTAGTGGATCGCGTTTCCGATCCGGTGGTAGATTCTGCGAAGCACTGCTCTTGCTAGGGCCAGTGTTAGCAGCAATCCGGTTTGAGCCCCATGAGCCCACCTCCACGTCAAGGCGAAACTGAAATAGGATCTCAAGGCTATAGGTAGGCTTTAACCTTCAGTTAAAGGTCTCTGTCTCGTGAAGGGGTTTCTGGAGGGGACTCTGGGGTCCTCTAGGTTGTTGGGCACGACGTCAGTGCTCCGCGAGCGCACGATCTGGCCGGTGGAGAAGGGTCTCCGCGGGGGAGGCAGCGGGGCGCCCCGCATGGAGGCGCGGAGCTGCGGCTGCGAGTGCACGGCGCGGGTCAGATCCTCTCCCGTCCAGTTCACACTGAAATTAATGTTCATTTTCAAGATTTAATATCTTCTTCTTCTTCTTAGTCGCATAGTTCATAGCTGAAGGTCGTGTCCCTGAAAGCCCTTCGTGGCTCTTTGTACCATCAGCTTCCATTTGCTTCGGTTTTCGGCTTCTCTCAGGGCGGTCGCAACAGAGAGTCCAGTGAGCACAGTTACCTGCTCTGACCAACGGTTTGGTGGCCGGCCGGCCAAGAGAACAAACAAATCTGCACTCGAGCAACTTCGCATAGAAACGAGACTGTCGACGAATTGCTACCAGAAGGTTCTTGGTTACTTTGGTCACATTGCTCGGCGGCCACCAGACAACCTTGAAAAATTTACTGTGGTGGGCAAGGTAGAAGGGAAAAGATGTAATATAACGAAGCTTTATATATTGGTGTAGATAAGTGCTAAGAGATTGACGGAGCCAGCAAAACTGCCCTTTGCCACCTTTAAACATGAGGTCGAAATTTTATTTGTATTGTATAAATAACGATTCTTCAAGCTGAAATGACTGCTTCGCGATGCAGAGAAATAAATACATAGGTTTTTATTTATCCGAATACAACAACGCCCTACGTTTAGTCATGTATTTAATATTTATTTTTCTTTATTAGTTCAGTGCGGAAGTCATTCGTGAACATGCGTTACCAACATATTGGCTTTTTTTCATGCGTCCGAGTCGCAAGTTTTAATCAGAAAATAGTTTTTTTTTATTGCACCTTGTAGGCAGAAGAGCATACGGCCCACCTGATGGTGAGTGGTTACCGTCGCCCATGGACTTCAGCAATACCAGGGGCAGAGCCAAGCCGCTGCCTACCGCGGATAATATAATTCTTTGTCAAACATATAGCCCATATTAGGTATAAATTAATCTTTATTCTTGTAACGTTCCATTCCCATGACACCATTTCAAAGTGAAGCTATCTTTTACTATTATTGGGGGAATTCCCGGAAAGGATTTTATTTTTGGAATAAATTTTTGCAAGCTTTTGTAGAAAATTTAATTAGCCCGCAAAGTTTATATATTATGTAGTTTGGACAGCTCTACTTTAGATCACGACGACTTCACGACTTCGAGTGAAGCCGCTAAACTACAGACCGACAAAGCGACAGAGAGTACAGGTCTGAATAACACAATAAAGCAGCGCTTATCCACAAGCTCGAGCTCCGGAAGCTCAGCTACTCCTCAGGATACCGGAAAAGGTGTGAGAAAAAAAAAACAGTGCTCACTTGTCTCCTCCCAGCACGAACTGAACTTGGTCCTTGCGTCTGTCGTCCACGGGACTCTTGCGAACGTCGTTGTGCGAGTTCCGCATGCGCAGTTCCTCGCTCGACAGTTTCTTGTCCTCTAAACGACGCTCGTCCTGACGTCTCTCGCGGGCTTCTTGAGCGAGACGCTCTTCCAATTGTAACCTGCGCCGAGAATGGTTGTTTTCGTTCTTAATATAATTTGCATATATAATTGCAATTTATTAATGCAATTTTAAATATATATTTTTTTTATTGCCCTTGTAGACAGACGAGCACACGGCCCACCTGATGGTGAGTGGTTACCATCGCCCATGGACTTCAGCAATGCCAGGGGCAGAGCCAAGCCGCTGCCTACCGTTTAATACTCTCCACAGGCCTCGTTTGAAGAAGGACATGTCATAGCGCTCGGGAAACACCGTGGAGGAGACCTCATTCCATAGCCGGATGGTACGTGGCAAAAAGACCTCTGGAAACGCACTGTGGATGACCGCAGTGGCTCCAGGTAGTATGGATGAACTCTACTCTGGTGGCGGGCGGTGCGATGGTAAAAACGAGATGCCGGAATCATCTCAATTCCTCAGAGCACTCCAAATATAAATTAATCTTAAGCAATCAATCAAATGTAATCAAATCTTAGTTATATTTTTTTCTTGTTATTAATGCACTGTCGATTGCACCTACAATTGAGGTGACATCTGCCATGAACTTCCGTCAATTTGTCAATGTTTTGTATTGATGATCACTTTGTTGGTGCAACTTAATAAATAAATAAATATCGACTGAAGTTTAATTGTTTTATATATGAAGCTGATCTTCTGTAAAGATAAACCGAAAACCGGTCTCTAGTTGTGGACACGCAAAAATACAGTTTTTTTTTGGGTTTAGGTTAGTTTTAATTTTAATAATAATAGCTGGAAACTAATCACGCAATATATAGATAGATAATAAACACTCAGACAAAGAGAAAGCAAATCTGTTCATTAAACGAATGTTTGCCCGATGTGGGAATCGAACCCACGACCCTCGGCGCAACAGTCAGGGTCGCTAAGTACTGCACCACCGAGTTACTAAGTTTATAAATGTGCTTTTACAGTTGCAATTTGATATATGACACCATTAGTTTTCTAAATTGCGCTATCATTGTCTTACGGTTTAATATAAAAATTAATTACTTATTTATAAAATTAATTATTAATTAATCGTTTCCAGGCAACTACGTTAAATAAACAGGAACGAAGTCGCGGGCACAGCTAATGTTCCATACATTAAAAAAATCGACGAAAACAAAATCGACATACTTTGTTCAACAATAAGGAGTTTACTGATGAGCTGATTTTAAAACTACCGAAGTTTTATTCATAACTCACCTAGCCTCGGCGAGTCTTAAATCTAGAGGATAGTGTGGAGAATCGTGCTCTTCGCTTCCCGATGAGTCCTCGCGCCATCCAAAGTTATCCGCCACTGAAATACGCGTTCCACGTCAACTCTTCGTGTCTTAAAATCGCTTTCATTCCATTTACAAACAATGCAATGTTGCCAGTTTAAAGAATGTTTCGTGCGTGTGAATGAGATAAAAGTATTTAACCCGAATTCATATTTCTCGAATGGTTGGTGCTGAATTACAAATTCCTATTAATAAGCATGTACGAAATAATGTTCATGTGTTTTATTTAGCAAGCAATGCGTCACACTTATAATCTTCTTACCTTTCATTGTAGCCAAACTAGAAAAGAGCACTATAGGTACTATTGTGGTACACTTTCTAATAAAAGCAAAGGATAAATGGAAGGTGGCATAAAAATAAAAACAAAATCACAATCGTCAAAAGCTTTCAAACGTGCAGAAAAAAACAATTCTAGACATTTTTCTAAAAAAAATACAAATATATTATTATTTTATGCGGGTTTAATTATGTTTTAGTCGATTAACTTTTATTTCACTGCGTAGTTAAGACTTGCCTATTTTGATATTAATATTGTTATTCATATCATAAAGCACAATTACATTGTAAGAATTACAAATATTAAATTAAAAATTATGTGTTCACAATAACCTTTACTATATTAGATTTGTTACTATTTATCCACTGACCACAGATATAGAATTCGAATTCAAACCAAGAACTGTTAACACTACAATAAACTACGTCATAATAATATACTTAGCCACTTGCATTCATGCGATCCAACTAGTATGGTATTATCTATGATATTAGCGAGATAAACTATGTAACACAATAACGGGATTTATTTTTATTTAATTCACGCAATAAAGATGACTTCATGATCACTGCAACTCGGATAAAAGATCCAAGTGTCACGTCAAACAAATAAAAAAATAAAAAAAGCCTTTCTGGAAAAATATCACATAACGTCTTAGCTAATGTCGAATCAATGTGTAACGTATTATATTGTCTGTATAAATTTTAATATTTTCCCTTTATTATGCTATCACGCATCACGTCAGTTTGAAGTCGTGAAATGAATAATTTCTTAATTCAAAGCAATAAATCATGCAAGGATAGGGATGCACCGTCACCGATATTACGAAAGGCAAAAACGCAAAAAAAAACCCTGAAAATGACACCTTCAGAGCCTTTGCCTTTCCAGTCCCAGTCCATTCACCAGTCCACGAACGCTTTCATGATTATTTCATACATGCTTCATTAATTAGGAATTTTACTGTGTGAAAGCTTCCTATCGATTGTGACCGATAAACGTTGATGTTTTAATTTTATTTATTGACAACTCTATTCATACTACATGTTTTTTTTTGCTTAAATACTAAAAACAAATAAATAACATTCGTTCGGTTGCTGTCTAAAATAATCTTTCAGATATAAATTTTAAACTATGCGAGGAACATAAAACCATCGAGTACATATCGATTAGAACACGTTAGTCGATTTTCATTTAGAGACGTGCATGACAAATTTGTTGTTATTGTTTCAATCAATTTGTAAGAGCCTTGTATATATTTTTTCTTTAATTCAAAATGTCATTTGACAAAGGACCAATACTGGTTCGCATTTTATTATTGTAATTATATAACAAAGTTCAATTTATTTAATATACTTAGAAATGCTTAGAGTTGGGACAAATAACACGTTCACACATCATGCAACATTTCTACTTTTATGTAGTGTGAACGTGAATGAGAATCCAAATTGATAAGACGTATAAAAAGTATTATTTAAAGACGTTACAAAACAAGGATTCTTCTAAATTCTATCAGCTCTACATTTTTACGGTGAAGTTTATATTATAATAATATAACTCTCTCGAATATGTACTCGATGTTAAAAACCTACCTTTTATTTTGGAAATAATATTAAAACCTAGAGAAAATTTTCACGATTTTTTTTTTAAATGTAGTATAGCAAAGATCCTTAGAGATACAATACTTTTTCTTTTAATTCTAATCATTTTGTATTACTACTATTTACATTTCGTTACACTTTGATTTTTTAATAACACGTATCACAATACACAATCGAATGAAAATGAATATCGATTTAAAATCGACTAATAAAATTTGATAGTTTTACACCTAGACTTAAGTACAGAATAAAAATCATTTGAAAATTCAGCTGATTTAGTGTTATAAAAATACTTTAGAAGCTAACTTAACAGCTGATTTTTTTTTGTAACCAAGTAATGAATCATTAATTTGGTTAGAATGCAAAATTAAATACATACAATACGTTGAAAACATCCGATATATTTAATCGAAACTAACAAAACAATTCGTTTATATTATTAAAACATTCAAGGAACGTTTTCGCATACTAAAATATGAATTATAGTCACTGCTAATTTTAATCACCGATTTCGAATATATTTAAAATAAAAAAAACATTTATATTAGAGATTCCACTGAATATAATGTTAAAAAAATGTAAACACAAGAGAACGTTTGTTGAATAAATCTAAATAAAATGTTAGCCAAGAGATAAAGAGTTCTCGCTTCATCTGACGCTTTATTCACATATCACGCTTTAACAAAACAAAACAAACATTACACAGAGTAAACTGAAGGCGCGTGTTTCATCAAGCATTAATGTTTAACTACTTTGCAAACATTAGTATATCGAAGCATTCACAACTTTGAATTGTTTAAATATTTAGAAACGACCCTAATTATATTGAACTATGCTAGTTTTTAATTGCCAAGAATAAATTAAGATATTGATGTAAGAAGGTTTTAAATGTGTAGTCATAATTTATGACTACTTTAATATAACTCCTGCCTACTAAAAATACGTCGGGTTGTCAGAAGATAATAGCTAATTGAAAACTTATGTTTTTTTATTACCGAATGTATCCTAATCTGATTCGATAAGAACTCGGTATACTGAAATACGCCAACAATTGGCAACAACAGACCACTAGGGACTTAAATGATTATAAATGAATCTAAAAATTCAAACCATAAAGTTCTATATAACTAAAAACTATTAGATAGTAGAAGTTAATGTATTTTTAATTACTTGTGACCGTTTCGCAGTGAATGCATCTATACATTTTTCTATCTATTAAATCTAAAATACATTGTCATAGAGTTAACGTTTATTTAGTTACTAATAAAGGGATTGAAAAAAAAAATTTTTTTTTCTTGTGAGTGCCATCCCTAATAATGTTTACAGAGAGACACCATTAGTGATCTTTACTCCGTATGACAACGTATTGAAGTGTACATAATATGTAGGTATGAGACGTGCGAAGGTCATTCGACGTGCTCGTGGAAGACGGACACGTCATCGAAGGTCTTACCTGAGCCGCACAGGGATGTGTCGTCGCCGACGCTCAGGTCGTCCTGGGAACTGCTCATGCGGGCTGTGGAGGCAAGAGGGAATTAACGTTACATTTGTAGAACAAACATTAACGTTAACCCTTCGCGATTGACTTCAACGGTGAAGGATATTTTTTTTATTGCTTAGATGGGTGGGCGAGCTCACAGCCACATGGTAGTAAATCGTTACTGGAGCCCATAGACATCTACCATATAAATGCGTCACCCACCTTGAGATATAAGTTCTAAGGTCTCAGTATAGTTAGAACGGCTGCCCCACCCTTCAAACCAAAACGCATTACTGCTTCACGGCAGAAATAGGCAGGGCGGTGGTACCTACCCGTGCGGACTCACAAGAGACCACCAGAAATTACGCAAATTATAATTTTGCGGATCCTTCCGATCCACTAACGGTGCTTTTAGATACCTCAAGCACCGGTCATCGTTATAATATATTATTATAGAATATTATGATTGAAGTAGAGGGAAACTCACGTCTTCCCGTCGGTCGACCGTTCATGTTCCTGTACAGCGTGGTCTCCAGGTACTGCAGCCCGTTGTTGTTGATGATGTTGAAGCCGCACAGGCGTTCGATCTGCTTCCAGCGGTGCATGCGTTCCTACAAAATCGAACAGAACACAAACGTGCATTAGTCAAATTATATAATTTTAATTCGAAAAGACTGTTACGTGATCAGTATAATATATATAAGTATATTATTATGAATGTACAATGGTCAGTAATTATATAACTTTTTTTCCTATTATGAGAACCTTTAATATTAAAGTTCATTCCGTCCGGACGTAGCTATAAGTCTGTTAGGTTAACAGCGATAGGCCAGGGAAAAAATTTAATTATTAAATTTTTTATTTCATGTTTTGAAAATCACAAACCCTCTATTTAAGCTTTCAATACCAAATACAAGCAGTAAGAGCAAGATTAAAAAAAAAAAGTGAACACTTATTTGCAAACAGAAGCAGATGCAAGTGAGTGATTCTTTTGAAAAAAAAATAACCGATTTACATTTTACAGATAGGACACGCTTTCAAACTTGTAATTGGTTACCTATTTCAGCCTCTTTCCAAAAGCAACCGTCTAGATCGGTCTAAGTATCTCGCAGCTGCCCACAGATATTACTATAAAATATTCATTCACCTGTAACTCTTGAGTGACCTCGTTGAGTGCAGTGCGCGCCTCAACAATGGACCGATCCACGTCGTCTATGGACTTGCCGTGCGTTGACACGAAGGCGCCGACCAAACTAGAACGCTTCTTGCGTAATTTTTCGCACTAAAAAAGAAGAAAAAAAAACACGTAAGAATTCTATTGAACATTTTATCATCGTTTTATTGCTGTGCTTTCCGGTAATCGTTCTCGTCGAACCCGTCGCTTGCGACGAAGGGCTCGACGAGTAAATTAACCCACAGACACATCCCACTGAGTTTCTCGCCGGATCTTCTCAGTGGGTCGCGTTTCCGATCCGGTGGTAGATTCGACGAAGCACGGCTCTTGCTAGGGTTAGTGTTAGCAACGTCGCCAGGTTAGAGCCCCGTGAGATCATCACCTACTAGTTAAATCTACGCTGAAATGATGCCTCAAGACCATCAGCTTAGGTAAGAAAAAAAGCTGTCCTTTATTGACACATCGTGAGTCGCGACATTAACTTATACGTTCCGGTAGACCTTGAGACGTGGATGATTGTTTTTCGAACGCTACTTTAATCTTTACAGTCTTAAAAGTCTGCTATATTGTTTGCGACCCCAAGGACCTAAAACAACTAGTATGTTTTTTCCACCACTCGTCCATGGTGGAAATATTTTTCTTAAGCCCACCACAAGCTTATATACCTAGATCATCGTTCCCAAAGTCAATATTACATCGACCAGACAGATTGTTCAAAAAATCTAAACCAAATCAAAGGTCTGTGTTATATATTTTTTTATATAATGTAGTGATTACAGTTCGTCTGAAGGCCTTTCCGGTTTCACCAGGACAGGTGAGCGAACAAGGGCTAAGTCAGAAGGGCCGGGATTTGCTAACAGCTACCCGAACGCCTCCAAGGGAAACTGAGCAAATCAAGAGCAGCTGCTTCGCGAATGAATCTACTACCGGATCGGAATCGCGACCCGCTGAGAAGATTCGGGGAGAAACTCAACGGGCCGATGTTTAGGTTAGATTGCACGTCGAACTCTTTGCCGAGTTCGCCTAGTATGATTACCGGGGTCCCTACTCCTAGTGTTAGAGCTGAAGGCGTCTAGTATAAGGGTTTTTGGATCTGATGGATCCGCGTTGTCCGGAACCCACACAGTCATATAAGGGAAAGTTCGTAAAGTCTGTGAGCGTGATCCCTCACCGCGTCCCTAGCCTGTTGCAGCTGTAGGTCGGCCTGCTGCTTCTTCCTGAGGTAGGATCTGTTCTCGACCTCGTGCGTCAGCTGGAGCCACTGCTGGAGCCCGGGAGGAGGGGCCCAGCACCGGTCCTCGAGCTCACCCTCCGCCCTACGGAGTTCAGCTCGTAACATCTACAAATAGCAAATGAAAAAATCATAACCAAATATACTGGTGGTAACAATTTACTGGTGATAGGAGCTCTTGTGAGTCCGCACGGGTAGGCACCACTAACTCGCCCATTTCTGCCGTGAAGCAGTAATGCGTTTCGGTTTGAAGGGTGGGGTAGACGTTGTAACTATACTGAGGAGACCTTAGAACTTATATCACAAGGTGGCGCATTTACGTTGAAGATGTCTATCGGCTCCAGTAACCACTTAACACCAGGTGGGCTGTGGGCTCGACCCATCGAAACAATAAAAAAAAAACTTTTGGATTTAGCGTAAGAGTAAGAATGGTTGGATTATATTTTTTTCAAATCTTGAAATTACAGAATTTTCTTTTCCTTTCTCACTAGGTGGGGTCGGCACAATGAATTTTTCTATTCCATTCTCCTCTATCAGCCGTCATCTCAACACTTACTCCTCTCTCTCTTTCATACCGTGTATCACACACTCCATCCATATATTCTTCGGTCGACCTCGTAATGGTCGGTCCTTTTACCTTTTATTTTCAGATTGAAGGATTACTTGTGGTCCGGAGGCCTTTCCAGTTTCACCAAGACAGGTGGGCCAGCAAAGGCTCATCCAGGAGGTTGTTGCACTACCCTTTTCCATACATCTCTTAGTCACATGAATCTCCTCTCTACACATCACATGTCCATACCACATTGAAATTACAGAATACAAACTCAAAAAGACATTCCATACAAATTGTTGCGTTTTTTCCTAAAACTTACATACTATCTCTTTTAAAATGATGTCTGTCTATGATGTGTATTTGAGATAAAATTAGATTTTGCCAAATTCAGTTTACTTAAATCAACTCACGTGATTAAATGTTAAGGTTGATAAAACATTACATATTCAAACCCCGATGATTGTAATACATCCAAAAACGGTCTTTTTTATGGGAATGCTTTAATGGCTTTGAAATTGCTTCAGCGATCTGACTTGTCCGATCTGAATTGTAATTATATTCTATGTCGCATAAAATTCACATCTGACATCAACGAAAAAAAAAATATACTTCTGAATCTCATTCAAAAATTGAAACTAAATTTAGTTCGAGAACGTTTCGTATTATTTGAAACGACGTCAATTTAAATCATTTACATTAATTCACAATAAAATTTTATGTTAAACACTACAGTTTGCTAATAAAAAAAACACGAACCAAAACCCAAATGCTAAATTGCATTGTTTTCGACAAGAAAAAAATGTGTTCACGATTTCACAGGATTATTATTATTACTAGCAAAAAAAACATAAGTGTGTGTGTTTTTGTTTGTGACAATGTTTTTTGGAAATCTTTTTTATTGTCTCACCTCGACTTCGGCTTTGAGTTTAGACACTTCTAGATCCGACGTGGTCGAATTCAAGACTGGCGTGTCACTTGTCTCTTTAAGTTTCTTTTCTAGATTTTTCTTCTCTGTTGTCGCACTTTCCTGTAAAACGTTCATCATTTTTATCTTACGACCGTCCTTAACAGTGTGGTCCATAAATATGACAACACGATTGTCGGCACCAATCTCGAAACTTCGAAGTCTCAATTTTAGTTTACACGGGTCGCCATTCAATAGACCGGCATACATGCTCGCGGCAGATAAATTACCTGCCTGCGAGTTACGAACACCGGCTCAGTAGCATCGCTCGATACGAATGCACCAGACGTCTTATCCTTTAGGCCAAGATGACATCATGAAGTCATATATGACTACCCTTGCTGCAAATTAATCGTATTAAGTTTACGTAGTCGTTTTGAAGTCGCCGTGGCCTAAAGGATAAGACGTCCGGTGCGTTCGTATTTAGCGATGCACCGGTGTTCGAATCCCGCAGGCGGGTACCAATTTTCCTAATGAAATACGTACTTAACAAATGTTCACGATTTACTTCCACGGTGAAGGAATAACATCGTGTAATAAAAATCAAAATCCGCAGAATTATAATTTTCGTAATTACTGGTGGCAGGACCTCTTGTGAGTCCGCACGGGTCGGTACCACCATTCCGCCTACTTCTGCCGTGAAGAAGTAATGCGTTTCGATTTGAAGGGTGGGGCAGCCGTTGTAACTATACTGAGACCTTAGAGCTTATACCTTAGGTGTGTGGCGCATTTACGCTGTAGATATCTATGGGCTCCAGTAACCGCTATCTAAGCAATAAAAAAAAAAAACCTAGTGCGCTACACCGACCTGTTCTAGTCGTGCCTTCTCGAGTTCCTTCTGCATCTCGTCCAATGCCATCTCGGCTCTCCGTAATTGTTCCATGTCGCGCAGCATCCGTTGCACTTGTGTCCTGCTCGCACGTCCCGCGCGCAACGCGGCCCAACCCCCGACAACAGCGCCGAGCAGCAACGAAGCGAGGAGCCAGTCCTTCCATCTGCTACCTTCTGGAATAACGATTGTTCCGACCAATAAGAAAGACATCTGCTCTTATTGACAAGATTTTTACTGGTGGAAGGACCTCTTGTGAGTCCGCACGGGTAGGTACCACCACCCCGCCTATTTCTGCCGTGAAGCAGTAATGCGTTTCCAAGAGAGCCCAAGAAAAATAATTACATACATATATTCGACATTTTGCTTGTTATTTAAAAGTATATTTCATTGAACCTCTTCATTGTCAAAAAAAGGAAAGGCAATCGAATATTCTGTGATAATTATTTTAAGACGAACATTCCAAGTGATACATATAAACGATCCAAGCAACTATATCGCATCATTTCGTGTGATTTTTAAAATATGTAACAATCAAACTATAATAATAAAAGCAAATGAGCACTAAATGAAACACTTCACTATATTCGTTTCCGCGTTATGTATCTGAACGTGATCGGTAATGAATTTACTAATCAATAAGTATCATTTTTTTTATCAACTTATTAGCCTAGGTGGGCTAATTTATGAGGGGCCAATTTTGATCATTTACAGCCAGCATTACGTATAGTGGAAAATTATTTGTTTTTTGTTGTTTTTTTTATTGCTTAGACGTGTGGACGAGCTCACAGCCCACCTAGTGTTAAGTGGTTACTGGAGCCCATAGACAAAAATGGTGCTCATTTCTGCAATAGACCAGTCGTGCTTTTCTGTAAATGAGTGAGACCGCCCGAATACAAAACAATTGAAGCTTCAACAGATTGTCTCGAGATAGTAAACACGACAGCTATTAACACGTTTTAATTAGCTTGGTATGTGTCTGTATATATATAATTATGGCCGACCTCAACACTTATGATTTACTTCAAAATGTGAACACGTATCGAGGATCGATGACGGTGCCATAATTGTATTACTACACAACTGCACAGGGTGTGCAAAAATATAAAAAAAAATTGGTTCAGTTCGTTATTAAAGTGTGATGCTTGTATTACATGTTTCACTGGTGGTAGGACCTCTTGCGAGTCCGCACGGGTAGGTACCACCACCCTGCCTATTTCTGCCGTGAAGCAGTAATGCGTTTCGGCTTGAAGGGTGGGGCAGCCGTTGTAACTATACTGAGACCTTAGAACTTATATCTCAAGGTGGGTGGCGCGTTTACGTTGTAGATGTCTATGGGCTCCAGTAACCACTTAACACCAGGTGGGCTGTGAGCTCGTCCACCCATCTAAGCAATAAAAAAAATGTTTATTTTAATTAGATTACAGTACCTGACGTGGACATATATGGATCATCTAGTATAGTTTAAATTAAAAGGGGCCGATAGACACAGTGTAGATACCGCCAGCATATTTGCGGCTTCTTTCAAAGAGAACACATGATTTGGTTCATGGCAGGATCAGTGTGCTTAGTGCGAGTTTTTTAACGTTTTCGATAGCGTAAAAGTTAGCTCATATTTGTATGGAATGAGATCGTTTGCCTACGTTTGCCGCTAGGGGCGCTGTTCCAACTGCAGACAAAATGTGAGTTAACTTTTACGCTAGTCGTTAAAAGACTCGTACTAAGCACACTGACCGAGAGAACTGAACTTACATGCACACACCTTAGCACCAGTCAAAACAAATGACTAACTATACCAGCCGGTACGCTTTTCCTCTTTACCAAATAGATCTATAAAATGTGTTTCTTAATAAGTTTGTTCAGTAATAAATAACCTTCAGCGAACTGTTGAGTACACATCTCACATGTAAATTCATTTCCGTTGTAATTAAGTTTTGTTTAAAAACCAATATTTATTGTTGTTACCCAAAAAAAAAGAATTTAGTTATTAAATCGTTCGTTGCTGCTATTTTAGAAAATCTACACAAAATTATTTAAGATTTTTCTGTTACAAGTAACAAATAGTAATAAAATACGTTCGTTGAATTGTAAAAGATGACACATAAATTAAAAAAGCCGTTCTTTATAGTTTTTTCCTTAAACTAAATTACCTAGTATACCTCCGTTTGATAATTCTATAATATTACAAAGTAAATATTTTTTAATATTCAAAAAGGCACTTCAAACAATGACATCATTATTTAAACGTGTTAAAAAAAACATTTAAAACATAAACTGTTTAGTACAAAAATGTTTATTACCATCATCTGTCAGATCAACATACCGCCCACAGAGAAGCAAATAAACACAGTAAGACGCTATTAAAGTGAACCAAATGTCAAACACCATTTATAACATTTTCACGAACACTGCATAAGTGGCGGATGGTAAAACGAAAAAAAAAAAAAAATCAACGCATCACACCGAACTGTCCTACTTCACCAACGAAACTCGTCAAATGAAGTCAAATCATTCTTGTGAATTATGACGTCACTGTAGAGACACCATCTATCGAAGCATTGCAGGACATTCTCCTGCTTTAGAACGATCTATTAAAATGTAAATCTCATTTATATAATTCAAGGGCATATTATTGTGTATTTTTTTCTGGGTTCGACCAATGTAAGTCACAAAGTTTCGTTTTCATCGTACCTATCTATTATAATTGAGGCCCGAGAAGGAAATCAAGCAATTCTCGTATATTTCGGTATTGGATAATTATCACTAACATATTATTAAGAAAATCGTCGTGTAGATTATATTTTTGTAGTGAATACATAACAATATATAGCTTGTTTATATGTTTTATGATATAGCTATAATGACTTACCTAATTAAAACAGTAGATAGTCAGCGTTTTTATCTAGTGCAAGACTATTATGAAACAAAACAATACATGTTTTAATTGGATGATTAAAATGTTGTGTATGTCGCTATGTGTTGATTTGGAGCATTAGGCTATTTTCTAGTGTTTCGGAATTGAAACTTCTAAATTGCGAGTTAGAACAACAAAATTCCAACAATATTTAAGTCGGACGAAAAGATATAAATTGCAATTTTTTAATTTTTTATAGTGCTTCAACCGAATCTAAATCAGCCAAAATGGAAGTTGGAATTTCCTAATCACATATTATTATATCTATAAAAATGTAAAACTATAATCTTCTAGAAATCAACGATGAAACAATTTAGTTGATTGATGATTTGATGATGATTATCTAGAAGATTGCACAAAGTGGGAATGAGTTGCTCGCTCCGGGCAGTTCAATATTGTAATAATTGTTATGTTATAATACTCATGCAAAAATGAATATTTTAAAAAAATCTAATATTATAAAAATAATCTAATATTAAAAAAAAAAACATGTCCGCTGAGTTTCTTGCCAATTCTTCTCAGGACGGAGGCTAGTTCTTGTAAATTGGCGGTAGTTCTTTTGACGTTCAACAAGTATGTACTTTCATTTATGTTGAATAATTTTTTTTTGATTTGATTTGATTTGATTTGAGTTCGCGATAAACACGGAAAATCATGAAATGTTCTTTAATTAAAAAAAACGTGGTCACTTCAAAAAGTAGTAGTTTTAATAACACGTCACAAGTAGTAATAATAAGTTGGGACGAGACTTTATATCCGATTCATCCGTTTCGCGCTCATCGATTCTTGTGCAGTGTTATTTCACGGGCACAATTCAAATGGTTCATTGTCGATTGTTATGGCTCAACATGTAATTCTACTCGTTAGCGGTTGCAGACAATCGTTCTAAAGTATACGGTTGGGTGAATGAATGAATGGTGATTAAATTTTCAGTAGATTAAGATGTGAGTATTCGTTTAATATGTTATAATACTATTCACAGGGGATCTTGATCTTGAAGTGTTTTGTTTGGAGCTCGGAATTGAGTTGCAAATAAAATTATTTATCCTCTGGCTCAGAAATTCGTAAACTGTCGTTCAGGTAATTTTCAAAAGTTATTTAACAAATTAGACGATAAAAAATGTATTGACATAAAGTACATGAGCATTAACTCATTGTCTAATTTCAGTCCGATCTACTGCTGAACATGAAGTAGTAGTATAAAATCATAATAATATGTATTTTTTATTTATTTATTTATGGCCAATGGTTACAAGACCTTATAGCCTTATGTATTTATTTATCTACGATGTTGCCGTTTCACAAACGTTTTGAAACGTAATTTAAGTATAACTGGCAATACATTCTAAATTCAAACGAATTTTATTTTAAAATTAAGAAACTTTATTTTCAAATTCAGTCATTTTTTATTGATTAGTGCTTTGTTTTCACTACATTTGTATCTTTTCATCAATATGGACAGATGATCCCCGTGATAGCTCGAAAACTAAAATCGACAGCAACAAATTAAAGATGATAGTGGAAGCTAACCCATAGACACAGCCCACTGAGTTTCTCGCCGGATCTTCTCAGTGAGTCGCGTTTCCGATCCGGTGGTAGGTTCTGCGAAGTACTGCTCTTGCTAGGGCCAATGTTAGCAATACTCCCGTTTTGAGACCCGTGAGCTCACCTACTAGTTTGATGAATTTAGAATAACCCCTCGCGGTTACTAGAACAGGGTCACTGTTTGGTTGGTCTAGTGTCGCTATAATTCATCACATCTTCCGTACAGCTGACTGGTGGTAAAGCCTCTTGTGAGTTCGCGCGGGTAGGTACCACCACCCTGCCTATTTCTGCCATGAAGCAGTAATGTGTTTCGGTTCGGTCAGTAACTATACTGAGATCTTAGAACTTATATCTCAAGGTGGGTGGCGCATTTACGTTGTGGATGTCTATGGGCTCCAGTAACCACTTAACACCAGGTGGGCTGTGAGCTCGTCCACCCATCTAATTCTTCATTGAAGAATCACCATTGCGCTGGTAGAGATGCATCGATACCATGTTTGCACAATAATATTTTAATTGATAGAAATAAAAATTACTTATAAAAAATGTCTAACTTTCTGTATACGAAACGGGAGTTTTGTAGGTAAAAGACCTAATGTTATAATTTAAATATTGGAGCGGGCCATATATTCCCGTGGATGTCGGATAAGGGACATCTTCTGCTTATTATATATAGCCTTCTCAGGGACGGTAGGAGGGCGGCCGGTAGAAAAA